GGTACTTGTATGCGGACACGTGCCAAGGTGATTGACATTTCATATGTGCCCAGTAATGGCGAGAACATGCATCGGTAATTTTAACACATGAGCATTAAGAAAAAACTGACATCAGCTGCGTTCACCTGACGAATGTAAATAAAAAATGTCAGGGTTCCAGCATGAACTGAACCTTAGCATTCTGCGTGGCAAACAAGTATACTATCACAAAGCCACATCAACCAGGTCTTGCAACTGCTTTTCAAGTACACCGCAATGTTCGTGAAGCATCAACTGGTCATGCAGTGATGGCTAACCAACTTTATAAACATTACATGTAAATCCAATCCTACAATACAGCCATGAAGTCAAGTTAAGAAAGTGTTAAGTGCAATCAACTCAAAGCAATTGATGGTTATATCAACTGAGGAACAGCGTGAACAGACGTTGGCTTTTTAATTCAAGACCGTTAAAAAAAAACCTGTGCATCTCCACTAAGTGAATGATGAGTGAGTGAAGCTATAGGTTCTCAGGTCTATAATGCCTACATTGAAGTCGCCGACTAGTATTAAGGACGAACAAATAAACAAAGACGAACGGACAGGTGCAATGGGACGCATGGATGCACGGACGCGCGTTTAGACGAATGCATGGAGAGACGGACAGTGCAGGTGATCATGTATTGTGTTGTCCTAAACCGTATTTACTCGCATAATTCTCGCAGTTTTCTTGGCGGAAAATCAATGCAAATTTGCGGGGTGCGAGAATTACATGGGGAAAACTTTCCACGAAAACGTACAGAGGAAAAAAGAAAACGAAGTGGCCGCAAATCGGGATTATCATTCCAGCAACTAACAGCAAGCTTTGTTAAGAACTAATTAAAACTTATCTCAACAACAATTTAAAACTTATCAACAATAAAAGCACAGGTTCAACACAAGTCAAGATTTCTTTGAGACACAAGAAGTGCAAGCAAATAGTCTAGAATTAGAATACCATACGCAAAGCTTGCGGGCCTTGCAGGGATAGCGGTAACGTTTGATGCTCAACAGGAGCCCATGAAAGGTAAGCGTAAGACGTCAGTATTGCGCTGATGGCCATTTGCCAGAATCGTCTGTAGTTTCCTTCTGAAAGAATAAAGTTTACCATCAATCCCACTTCTAGGCACACGGCAGGCCCGACGCGTCTTGGTGGCTTTCAGCTGCCATTTTTCAATGTATGGTCTATCACTTTCAACTTGAAAGCAGCCGTGTAGCTTCAGTATCGCCCCATAACGTGACCAGATTACCGACCCAACATAAAAAACATGCCGCAACGCACACTTGCTACTTTGGCTTGGCTTGAATTGAATCTCCGTTCAATATACGCTTGATTCTTAAGAGATGGTGCCAGATGGTGCGTGCTATCATCATCAGTGGCTGGAATGAGCAAACGACATTATTGGGACAGTTTTCGAGGGTGTGGTAATTACTCGAGGGAAAAAAGAAATCGTATTTTTGTTGGGCGATGTGGGGGGTGCGATAATTATGCGAGTGCGAAGATTACACGAGTAAGTACGGTAATTGATTACACAAAGTCTGTTTACACATTTGTTTTTTGTTGTACAGGTGTTCAGTTTGGGTTCGAGTTTTGTGGTGCTAGGTCCGCCCAAAGGAGCTTTGTCCCTAAAAGCTGGCATTGGCAGTGTTGACCCAATGAACGCATAGAATATCTAAAAATCATGGTCCCAGCAGGAATAGAACCCCAGCATTCTGCATGGCAATCATGTATTCCAAGACAAAGTCATGCCAGGTCTTGGAACTGCTTTTCACATAGATCGTAGTGTTCGTAAAATAGCAATTGTAGTTGCAGTGCTGGCTATCCAATCTTATAAACAGTACATATGTACTCCTATTAGAGCCATCATGTTAGGTTAATGACAATTGTAGTGAAGTGCCATCCACTCAAGCTCATTTATCTAGCAGTGTCCAGGGCCCTCACAATCCTCACTGGCATAAGCCCTACGTATCAGCTCACGCTTCTGGTGTTGATAATACCCATGTTGCTGTTGGCATCATTACACAACAGAAAACATGCCAATGTTTAACATAGGTCTGTGTGTACATCTGTACATATGTTTAGTGTCATTTCGTAATATTTCGCTAAAAAAATTGCAACACAGTCACCTTCCCTCCACATGCTTCGCATAACGTCGATTCCCAGGGAACGTGGGAAATGCCAAATTTTCTTCAGTGAGCACCCAACTATGTACGCAGAACATTTTATTAGTATTTGCACCTGGCATTGAAATGTCTTTACAAAGTTATTTTGTGCCCAAATTCATTATGAAGCCCATGAAGTTCTTCGATAGACAAGAAAAAGTCACCCTTTCTGGCTTCAGATAGGAAACTGCATGCAAGGCAAGAGTGACAATTTCGCAGTCATATAGTACTGAAGGTACACTAAAGAGCAAAACTATTTTTTGCGTATTAGTAAAGTACAATTTCACGATTCTGATAACACCACTTTTACCGCAACATGACGGTTGGCAAGCGAGAAAACACAAAAAAAATTTGGCACATCCCGCGTACCTGGAAATCGATATTATGCGAAGCATGCGGAGGGAAGGTGACCGTTTTGCAATTTTTTATTGTGTAACACGTCATGAAATGATGCTAAATATATGTACAGACGTTGCACGTACAGACATATGTTGAAGAGTTGCAGATGTTTGTATAACCAGCTATTTGCACTTGCACAACAATACCAACTGGAACATACGTATTAGCAACACCAGAAGCTGATATGAAGCGCTGATGCTCGGCACATAAACACTCAACACTGCCACATAGATCAACTTCAGCGCATGGCAAATAACCACAATTGGCATTAACCCGACGTGACGGATGTATAAAGTGAGCACATGTGTAATGTTTATAAAATTGGGTAGGCAGCATCGCAACCACTATTGGCGTTTCACAAAGCTTAACGTCTACTTGAAAAGTAGTTCCGAGACCTGGCATAGCTCTGTGGTAAAGTGCTTAATTGCCACTCGGAGTGCTTGGGTTCGATTCCAGCTGGGACCCTGACATTTATTCTTTGCATTTGTCGGGTTGACGCTAACGATTTCGGTTATTTTTCTTAACGCTCGCACGTTAAAATTGCCCATGAGTGTTGTCATCGTTCCTGGGTAGATACTAAGTGTCAATCACCTGTGGCATATACGCTCTTACCGGCAGCACATACTCGCCCGTGGGTATGTGCCACTGCCTGGTGGGACGTGTTTGACGACATACATGACGGGATTGTGACATTATTATTGAGGTCTTGAGCAGCACATCACATTCGTCAAACCATCTTACCCTTCCATGCTAATTTTGGTTCACGCCGAGTTAACGGGGTGACCATGACAGCACCCAAACGTAAGCGGCTAGATAGATAGAGATAGGTACGCTCAAAGTCACCGAAGTTCGCTAAGAAATGCTTCGCATTTAAAAATGCAAGTGAAGATGCCACCTTCAGAGTCTCCCACCAAACACCGTGCTGTCATAATAATTAAGGCATCTACTGGGTCCCACATAGCTTCTAATCAATAAAGTTGAAGTAAATTGTCACCCGTGGGTGCCATAGACCTAGCATATGAAGGTTAGGATAATTTGATTGAGCCGATGTCGCGAAAATAAAAACATTTTGAATTGTATGTCACACATGAAGATTTCGGTGTGAAATTTGAAAATTAAACTTCAAGGTTGTTGTTTTTTTCCGCTAATAATGAACTTATTACAGTAAAAGTTATCACAGAGTTCTCGGAGTGTAATATATCAATCTAAACCAAGTCACTGTTTCTCTTCAGTGTGCCTACGTTTATGACATTCTATAAACCGTAAAAATAAGATGGAAACAGAAAATGAAATATTAGCAAAGGCTGAGGCTTCTTTCGTACTTACATCATCTGTCTGAAAAGGAAAGAATAGTAGAGCGAATTTATAGAAGAACCACTTGATTAAGAACCTGCTGGATGAAATACATTCTCAGAAATAAAGTTTTGGTGTAACCGAATAAATCTCTAGAATCTCTTAAAAGAAGTTTATTAGCATAATATTAATATATATATATATATATATATATATATATATATATATATATATATATATATATAGTATTAATGAGATATAACAGACAGTAATGCCAAGGAATGTACAGGGGAAGTTATTAGAACCAATGGAATGTAAATAAGAAGAAAGAAGAAAGAAAAGTGGATGAAAAAATTACCAACTGTGAGCAGGAATCGAACCTACGACCTGGTTCGATTCCTGCTCACAGTTGGTAATTTTTTCATCCACTTTTCTTTCTTCTTATTTACATTCCATTGGTTCTAATAACTTCCCCTGTACATTCCTTGGCATTACAGTTCGTTATATCTCATTATTATTGTGTTAAAAACACGGAAAAACGAGCCCTTAGGTATACACTTCTTTCCCTTATATATATATATATATATATATATATATATATATATATATATTGTGGGAGTTGATAATTTTCAGTTTTTATGTACCAAAATAAAGATACGATTGTAAGGCACACTGAAGTGACTACGTGATACAGATCAATTTCTGGTACAGCCAGCATCAAAAGTTTAAAGAGTTTAAATATTTTCACTGCTTTGTCAGGCAGCCTTGTATTTGGATTTTCAACTCGTTTGAAAACACCTAAGCAGGATATACTATGGAGTTCGACTGCAGAATAGTCACAAAATGCTGAGAAATTTCAAGTTTTCTTCAACATGGTGGCCTCAATTTTCTATGCTGTACTTAAATGGGCATGCTAAACTTTATCTTCGCCCTCATATGGCCAGTGTGGCTGGGCATCGAACCCATAACTACCAGTACGGAAGCGAAATACCTCACCTGCTAGGCTGCCTATCTGCAAGCATTGTAATGAATGAAATGGGTGCACAGAAGAACCAGCGTAGATCAGTGTACAGTATGCATAGGTTACAGTATCGAAGTTTTCACAAGCGTGCTTGCACGAGGGTTTACCTGCTCAATTACGAAGATGGTATAATCTATTTGCTGCCGGGGCAGCATTTGGTGCATGTTGTAGAGGAAGACCCTGAGGTGATCCTCACGGTCACGGTAAGGAACCAAGATGGCCACTCTATGCCTAGCCGTGCAGTCCGTGGGCTTGTAACGTCCGCCAGGCAGTATGTGCGGGAACTCCTTCTCCATCGTCTCAAACGAGGGAGCATCCTTGAGCACTTTTAATCGACCAACTGCATACATGTGGAGAAAAAAAAAAAGGATACTTGTGAGTTAGTGTGTTTAGTATTGAAGCAGCATATATGCACATAACGAAAGCAGCCCAGAAACAACTTTTTCTTGAAGCTAAAGTGGATGCCTTTGAGCAAGCGCCACAGTCTCACAAATACCTATGAGAAGGATATCGGAATACACATTGCTATTGTTCAGCTTGTTGAACAGTCATGACTGCCAAAACAACGTTACCGTGCAGTTCCCTTGTCGTGGGTGCGATGTCATGGTGTTACATGCTGGGCGTTTTAACTATCAAATTTCAATATTTCATTCCAGCCTTTTAAAATATTTAATATAATTTTCTCCCTTACCTTTGTGGTGCAGACAGCCGCACTTTGCAAATTACATTTTTCTTGTTTGACTCGCATTTTTTTTTGCTCCCATTTAACTTTCAGCATAAATTTTATTTACCAAATAAGCAATGGGATAACTTCAGGTTTGCGGTAAATTTAGCGCGACTGCCTCAGCCCTGTTCAACATTACGCATGGTGGCTGGAATGGCCTACTGCATTAAGTAGTAGGATTCGGTGATATCGTGACTAAATGATTTTTACGAATGGTAATGGGCATCAGTTCGGTTATGACAAACACGGCAAGCAACTCTTCATGCCAGATCATTACTTCGTTGACATTGACCAAACTCTCATTTACTAGACCAATATGTATGTGCAGGTGATTATCGAATTTTGCTCACATTATTAAACAGCTATTTCTGAAAGAAGTTGTACTTTTTCTGCCCCATGTTCGCCGCACCTATGATAAGCGACTAGCAATATTGAACACTGCTCTCAACTTAGGCTGAAGAATATGACCGTCTCAAACAGCTCACAATATTGCCACGTTCCATTTCCCAAGTTTTTGTTATCGTCGCAAAACACCACACGATTCTGAACGAACCGCACCTGCAGTTTTCGAGAAGGTTCCGGACTGTAGTAGATCATTTCGATAAGATCACGCCCACTGTGCGAACGGTACAGATTGTTCTGGAACCTACGCCACCGCCAGCGATAACGCTAGAACATTCGACGGCAAGAGTATAAATGTCGACGCGCTTCGCCGCTTGTCAGTTGTTGATCGAAGGCCGACGCTTCGTTTGCCGCTATCAGTCCGAGACTGCTATCTGTGGAAGACTGCTGCTGTAATTGGACTTTCCGTTTACCGGGTACAGGTTCGCCCAAATAAACAGTTAAACCCCAACACGAAGTCTCCTGTCTTCGGCCACGTCACGACCCCGTGACATCTGGTGGAGGTGCTGTTTCTTCCATGTACCGGACGCCTCCGTCAAGCCGTGAACCCAGCCCACGCCGTGAAGACACCGACGCCAGCAACGAGCAGCGAGTTAGCCGCAGGCAACAAGGTCTGCCACCGGAGTACGGGCTTTTACTGGACAAGGCTCGGAAAACCAAGACGTTGACGTCGACCACGGCGACCATGTCAACGCCGGTTCTACCTGCACCACTCCTGTTCCAGCAACCCAAAGAGCCGCCAACTTTCCGCCGTTCACCACTGGAAGACGCGGAAAGTTGGATCGAAAGGTTCGACCACGTCGCCACCTTCAATGACTGGACAGACGAAGACAAGCTACGGCATGTGTATTTCGCCTTGGAAGATGCTGCTCGGACCTGGTTCGAGAATCAAGAGCGAAGCCTCACAACGCGAGACGCCTTTCGCGCCAGGTTCCTCACCACTTTCGCAAGTCTGGTGCGCAAGGAGAAAGCCGCAGCTCTCCTCGAAACCCGCATGCAGATGCCTAACGAAAACGTGGAAGATATGATTCATTCACGGAAGATATGATTAAACTCTTCCGCCACGCTGACTCCGACATGTCCGAGGAGAAGAAGGTGCGTCTACTTATGCGAGGAGTAAAGCAGGAACTCTTCGCCGGATGATCAGAAACCCGCCCAAGACAATCGCCGAATTCATTTCAGAAGCATCTACGATAGAGAAGACGCTCGAAATGCGCACGCGGCAATGTAACCGTAGCTTCTCGTCTCCAAGCTACGCCGACATTCAAGCGCTCGGAACCACTGACTTGCGTGAGACAATCCGAGCGATCGTGCAAGAGGAGCTGCGAAAATTACTTCCTTCAGCGCAGCCTCAGGTGGAATCCATCGCGGACGTCGTACGCCAGGAGATCCAGCAGTCGCTGGGCGCTCCTCAGCCTCAAGAGCCGCAGCTGCAAGTCATGAGCTATGCTGCTGCAGCATGCCGCCACGCCCCTCCTCCACACGCACGCCAAAACGCCGCCTCATCGCACTACCGCAGCCGTGGCCTTGTGGTAGAGTGTCCGCTTCGGCTGTGGGAGGTCGTGGGTTCGAGCCCCCGAGCCGCCGGGCACCCACCGGTTTCACAAAATGGGCACAGGCATCCCCCAACCTGACACTCTGCTTTCTCAGGGGTGAGCCGCCTGGGAAGGGAAGCCTACGCCATTCAAATCCCGCCGAAACATGTGGGCATACCCTGAAAAAGGGAGGTAAAGGTCTCCAAGTACTGACAAGCCGTCAGAAATCGTTGTGCTGTGCATCGCACGCAGACTCGTAGCCTTAGGTTGCGCGATTACCGCTCACAGATCGTGTGACGTAGCTCTCTTCGCAATATGGTCGATGTGCATGGCTGGGTACCAGATGTCATGGGGTCGTGACGTGACCGAAGACAGGAAACTTCGTGTTGGGATTTAACTGTTTATTTGGGCGAACCTGTGCCCGGTAAACGGAAAGTCCAATTACAGCAGCAGTCTCGGACTGATAGCGGCGAACGGAGCGTCGGCCTTCGATCAACAACCGACAAGCGGCGAAGCGCGTCGGCATTTATACTCTTGCCGTCGAATGTTGTAGCGTTATCGCTGGCGGTGGCGTAGGTTCCAGAACAATCTGTACCGTTCGCACAGTAGGCGTGATTTTATCGAAATGATCTACTACAGTCCGGAACCTTCTTGAAAACTGCAGGCGCGGTTTGCGCTGAGAATCGTGTGGTGTTTTGGGACGATAACAAAAACTTGGGAAATGGAACGTGGCAATATTAAACAAAGTGTGCATCTATGTATATCATGCTATGTGTGCATCGGAAAAAAAGTTTCACTTCAGCATGATAAACTATGGATTGATAATGATGTATTCATGTGGAATGAAACAACAAACCAACGTGAGATAACTTCTAGTTTTCGTGTCAATGTACATTCTACTTGACAAGTCAAGGAAAGGCTTGTCAGATTACTTAACATTAACGCATGCAGTATAGTGAATAAATTTAATCAATTAGAATCGGTTCTTTAGTCGCACTCCCCACATGTTATTGTTTTAACGGAAACCTGGCTACACGATGAAGTTGGTGACAGGGACTTAATTCCACCTGGCTACAAAATAATTCGGAGAGATAGAACCTCTAGGGGTGGTGGTGTGGCCATTGTTACTGTCGTCTGTTCAGGTAATTTCGTTGATCCAATCGAAGGACACTAAAAGCTTCTGCGTTAAACTAAACATTTATGGTCATGTCTGTTTTATGTGCCGTTTACAGGCCACCTGACTCAGCCCCTGATTATTTATTAAAATTAGTGACCACATTTCACAATTCAATAAAAGTAAACTTCTGGCGGTTGGCGATTTTAACCTACCAGGCATTGACTGGGATCGTATCAAATCGGGGGCCGGTTCTGTACGTGATGCAAACGTTCTTTTTGATTTGATGCTTGTACACAATCTTGTACAAGTAGTTCGCGAGCCTACTAGACATGGAACCGGTATCGACTCGCTCCTTGATCTAGTCTTTCTCGATCGTTGCTTTTCTAACTACCATGTATCTGTCGAGGCTGGCCTATCTGACCATGATATTGTGTCTGTATACTTTTGGTTTAATGTTAAACATACGCCTGACACGCATGCACCTGTGTTTGTGAAAGATTTTGCACGGGCTGACGATATCAGTGTAATAAAATATCTTGAATCTTGCTTTTGTGAATTTCGCGCAAGTGATGTCCTTGAGCTTTGAACCAAGTTTAAAGCCATGTGCTTATTCTACATAGATCAGTTCATACGAAACAACTAAACACACCCCTTGGATGAACAGGCGTACCATTCAGTTAAAATGTAAAGCCAAACGATTATGGAAAAAAGGAGCTGCTGCCGTTCATTTAACCACTGTTCGTGCAGCTCTGTCAAAATCTATTACAGAGGCAAAGAAGTTTTATTTCAGCAACACTTTACCTAACTTTATAAGGGAAGATCCACAGAAGTTTTGGAACTTTATTAAGGAACAAAAGAAATTGATAACGAGCATTACCCACGACGATACTGCAATAACTGACCCCAAGAGCATTGCTAACCTTTTAAATGCCCACTTTCACAGTGCCTTCTCCCCGCCTACTCACCCTTGTTTTCAAATTTCACGGTCCTCCTTTTCGGATATCAATATTTCTCAACAAGGTGTGCTTAACATGCTTCTACGATTGAAGACGAAATCTTCCGTCGGTCCTGATGGCATTCCCAACTCCTTCCTCCGGCATTACGCTGAACCACTAAGCAAATTTCTCGTCGCAATCTTTCAGGTCTCTCTAGAATCCGCGATACTTCCACCCGACTGGAAAATTGCACGCATTGTACCAATTTTAAAAAAGGGCGACCCATCTTCAGTTTTAAATTACCGTCCGATTTTTATTTTATCATCTTCTTGCAAAATGATTGAGAATATAGTTTTGGATTACATTAATAACTTCTTAAATGAGCATGACATTCTAACTCCTTTTCAACATGGCTTTAGGAAGGGTCTTTCGACAATCACCCAATTAAGTACGGTCATCATTCTTTCGCTTCTGTTCTTGACAGAGGTGAACAAATGGATGTTATCTTTCTAGGTTTTCAAAAGGCTTTTGATGTAGTTCCTCATGACAAATTAATCTGCAAATTACAGTTCCTTGGTTTTCCTGGCTTCATCCTATCATGGTTATCTGCCTATTTAATGTATCGGAAACAGTGTGTTATCATTAACGGACAGCAATCTGACTCTTTCCCGGTAAGCTCAGGGGTCCCTCAGGGAAGTGTACTTGGCCCACTATTATTCCTTATTTGTTGCAATGACATAACAGATGTCATACAAGCCCCAGTAAATATTCATCTTTTCGCAGACGACTGCGTTATTTTTAAGGAAATCAATAGTGTTCAAGACTGATTCTTGCTTACTGCAGCCTTAAACAGTATTTTTAAGTGGAGCAACAAATGGAACATGAAGCTAAATTCTTCTAAGTCTGTGCTCCTGCATATAACTAAAAAAACAGTACCCCTGATGTTTTCATACTCCATTGGCCAAGACCCATTGATTGAAGTTAAGGAGTACAAATATCTTGGAGTTACCATTACTAACAACCTCAACTGGGGCACCCATATTTCTAACACCGCCTCTTCTGCTTTCAGAAAATTATGTCTACTTCGTCACAAGCTTAAACATGCATCCCATGACGTGAAAACTTTAGCCTATACAACTTTTATCAGACCCAAGTTAGAATACGCCTCCATTATTTGGGATCCTTTCACCAAAAACTAATATTAATTGTCTTGAGAGAAAACAGAGAAAAGCCATGCGATTCATTATTTTCTAAATACAGCTGTGAGGACCCTGTAACCGATCTTATACGTTCTAACGGTTTTCTCACACTTCAAATGAGGCGCAAAATATCCCGACTGAAGTTCCTCCATTCTTTGTTAAATCGTAAGTTTTTTATAGATCCCAGTCCTTACATAACCCTTTCAAAGAGTAGGAAAACCCATCATTCTCATCCCCTCACACTCTCCCCTTATGTGTCCAGATCTAAACTCTTTAAATATTCTTTTTTTCCCCGCACCATAGAGGAATGGAACCTAGTACCTATTGATCATCTGGACTTGACTGAATTAATACAGAATTACTTCTTCACTATTTCCTAATTATATTTTATTTAGAGTTGTTTTTTATTGTTCCCTGACTTGTTTATGATATTCAATTGTGCTTTGTAGATATATTTATGTTGTACCCTGCCCCTCCTGCATGGGCCACATGGCCTGCAGTATTTTGTAAATAAAATAAAATAAAATATACCAGTATGCTGCATTATTGCAGTTGCGGTAACACTGACCGATTGCCTAACCCACCCTGAACATTGCTAAGGTGCTCCCCTCCAGCTGCCACAGCAGTTGAGACAAGGAGCTCTGAATTGGCATACTCTCACCAGCCTCTTCAACATGTGCCTGAATTGCAATGACACAAGGTTCTTCATATTTGCCCCTATTTAAATGGGGCTGCCATGGTCTTACAAGGAGCGAGCAGTTTTCTTTTAGGATGGCAGACTGTTGCAGGTGGTTGGCAAATTACAGTAGGTAGTGTTGTACATGTAAAAGATTTAGTGCTCCAAGAAGCTACTTGAAGCAGCTATGGAGATTAATTGTAAGAGGAGAAGAGGAGATATTGAGATTGTAAGAGGAGCAGGACAGGCATTGTATCTGTGTGGTTTCTAAACACCTTACGAAAACCTTATGAGCTGCATGAACACTCACCTAAGTGAGGTGGCACTAGTGGACAGAGCTCCAAGGCAGGCATAGTGCTGGTGTTATCAAGACGTGGGGAAGTGGGAAAGATCTTATCGAAGTGCGATTTGTTCACGGAATATGGACTGGCAGACTCTGGGAGCTGTGCGCCACCAGGAACTGGCCGGAAAATCCAAGAAAGTCCCGGTGAGACTACCTGCACAAGTTGGGTTGGAGAAAGGTCGTAAGGAGGGGCAAGAGGGCCAGAAAGCACCGGTATCAGAAATGAATGCTGGTTAAAATTGCAGAGAAACACTCCAATTGTGAGAATACATCAGACCGCAGGATGTATGTGGCAGGATTCCAAGTTAGAGCTTCATAAAGGCACACGAAAATGGAAGCAGCAGCCTTTCGCACATTTCCTTAGTTTCTATTTATATGCCAGCAGCTGAGCCACTACGCTTGGCTAGCACTGATGTTTTTATTCATTTCCTAAGCTGCTGCTCTCATCTGACAGCGGTGCAGGAGAGCAATATAAGAAGTACAACATATAAAAAATTCAAGAACAATAAAATATCCAACAAATGAAGGGAAAGAGGTTATAGTAAATAGAACACAGCAAATAGTGGTTATAGAAATACAATGAACTTTCATACATTTATCGCACTATTCAAGTGAAACTGCATAATGATGAACATCCTTTATAGAATAAAACATTAATGTCATATTCCATGAAAAATATTCATACTAAAGAAATCAATAACAACAAGTTAGCCTGTAGGTGTTTTCTTTTTATGTTGAAGGGAGTCAACCAACAAACATATGTGGGAGATGAGAGTAGCCTTGTGGCATTTAATTGGCTGAATGTATGGCTGAATGTATGCTGAATGCACGGGACGATGTTACCTATTTGAAATTTATAAGGCACATCCTGGCAACAGTGAAATTCATCCAGTTCTACCTGTCAGCTATACCTGTTCATTACGTCACATTTTAGCATAAAAAAGCGACATATTGCTCTTGCCTGCTTAGTATGAATAAGGAACGTGTATGGGTCCCGAACATAGGTCGGCGAACTCGCTAAGAGTTGACTCACTCGAATCCACTCTGATCAAGTCATGCGTCCAAGTCTGAATGAGTCCAAGTGGAGAGTTTGAGCTCGAGTGAGCCAGGTTAAAGAAAATTTTTGCGAGCGCGAGTCTGAGCAAGTTCAACTCGTGAAAAATTTGGTGAGCCTGAATCTGAGCAAGTCTAAAGCACAAGATATATTTCTTGAGCTAGTCTGAGCGAGTTTCACTTCTTTTTGCCAACTTATGGTCCTATCTGCTCACCTTCACCATTACTATCAACCTTAACTAGATTCAGAATTATACTCACGTCTACTCGCGTATAATCTAAAGCAGAGTTGCTCATACACCATTTCAATATTTATTGAACAGAGGCATGAATTACGTGGGGGAGTTACCTTGGCCTCCACCCCTGCAAACACTTACAGGAAAGTTCCAGATAAGTATATCTTATGTTGTCATCTTAAAATTACCTTGCTGGTTTGGGAGCGCTCATAACTGTAATTCGAAGGCACTTTGTCAAAATGTGCCAAAAAGAGCACAAATTACGAGAGATATTGGTGTTAATGGGCATTGACACCACACTTGAAAAAGCTATTTCTAAGCTAATGTACTCATGAGTCGACTCACTCGAGCTCAGATTTGCTTCGAGCTGCGAGTCAGAGTCCGGCTACGAAAAACTTTGGTGGATAGTCCGAGTTCAAGCGAGTCCTATGTGCAAAATAATTTTCATTAGCGAGTTCGAGTGAGCTCTACCAAGTGTTGCCAACCTAGGCCAACTTGTCATAGCAATTACCAGCAATTAGACCCAAATGAACTGGAAAGCAACTGCGTTTTCGGACTTCTATAAAAAAGACCAACTGGACCTCGCAGTCCCAATCGGTCATTCCAATTGGTCCTCCATCTGCTAATGGGTCTCCCAATTGGAATGCTTGTTAGTCGAACTGGTTGCACACATTCCAATTGGAAAAACATTCAAACTACCGTGCATTTCATTCGATTGGCCTCCCAAAGGGAATGCTTGTTGGTCTGATTGAATGAGCACATTTGGGATAGAGCAATTATTTGAAGCTTACATTGAAACTAACATGGCCGCCCTCAAATTGGATTCAAAATGGTTTACCAAGTGGATGTCATTGGTACATTGGTATTATTGACATCAGTACAGTGGATGTCATTGGCTTCTTTTTCTAATGTGCCCGCCCACCTATGTAATACTTTTGTAAGATGGCCCTTGATGGTACTGTGAACAAATAAAAAAACTGGTGACAAAATTTTGCTCAGTTGAAAACCAGTTGGTGTCGATTGGTGCTTTTCTTAATTAACTTAATTACTTAAGTACTTGCTCCCCAAATGTCATCACCTACGTTTATAATGAATATTGGATGTAACAAAGCTATTTTCGAGCTAGGAGAGACTTTATAGCAAGGTTCGACCGATATGCCACTTTTTACAACGCACGGTTCGCGGCACGGTACAGAAAGCACTTTTGGCACGAAGTGGTGCTAGACCATCAATATAATTCACTCTAAACATCACTTTGCAGTAAATTTAATATGCATTCCAAAAATTGGGTGGATAAAACACCCTCGATCATGGGTTTCGCAACTATGAACTCCCTATTTTTCGTAGTTATCCTGATAATCGAAAACAAATCGTACATATGAATGGCATAACTTCATCCCCTCAGCATCTTAGTACAGGGGTACCGCAGGGTTCAGTACTCGGTCCCTTGTTTTTCACAGTATATATAAAAGTCTTGCCTCAAACATTAAAATTTGCTGATATATCAAAGTGTGCTGATGACACTGCTACGATAATTACAGGTGACAACAACCAGGAAAAAAAGTCCAAATTGAGCTTGTTCAGAGTTCAGAATTGTTCACAGCCAATAAACTAAGCATTAGTACTACAAAAAGAAAATATATTGTTTGCCACTCATGTTCAAAAATGGTCTCTGATGGTTCTCTCTCTCACTGTATTTAAATCAATGCCCACTCCAATGCATCGATGCATACACCCATCTTGGCGTTATTCTCGATCAGCATCTACATTGGCAGCAGCACATCGAAGCTCTGCTTTACGCTAGCATCAGGTTATATTGCATTCTTTCAGGCATGGGCACATTTTCCAAGAAACATTCTACACATCCTGTATTTTTCATTTTTTCAGCCTCACCTGCCGTACTGTATTGGTTCATGGACCTGGACATTCAATACTTACCTAGATGCTGTTCGATGTCTACAGAAACTAGCTGTCCGAACTATTAATTTCTCACAGCGAAATGAAGCAAGCAAACCAATATTTTCTAAACCACACATCATACCATTTGATTTCTTACGTGAAATAAGTATGCCAAAGTGCATTATTAGTGAAATAAAAGACATTTATCTGTTTAACATATCAATATTGAGAATGCCAAATCGTCCAACAAGAAGCAAAACAATTGGGAACTTGAATATATCATTGGCAAGAAACCTCAGAGATTAGTATATTGGTGCAAAAATATGGAATGACATACCGATTGAGGGAAAGCAGAGCAATAACATTTCACTCTGGTTAAAAAAGAATGAACAGTAAATGTCATCTGTACAGACACTTATGTCACATATGCAACCAGTAGATACACTCATATGGATTCTATTGTTTTCTTTCTCTTCTCTCTCAATATTGATATGCTTACCACATGACATGTTTCCTTGTTCTATACCATATATTCTTGTCTGTTAAATATGTGTATATATGTATCTGTGTGTATATATGTATCTGTGTGTATATATGTATGTATGTGTATATATGTACATGCGTATATATGTATGTGTAAATAGATGTGTTTCTATATATAGATGTGTGTATATGCATTCTATCTAATTCTCAATCTATTAATGTGTATTTCTGTATTTATATGTCTGTAAATGACCCCAATACTAGCCTTTGGCTGAGGGGTCATACAGTGTTTGCGAAAAAAAAAATGTACTTATTTTATGTGAATAAAACTTCAAACTTCAAAAATTTTGCACGTGGTGCCATCTCTCAGAGGTAGCAAAGGCATCCTGCTAAAACTAAATAGGAAATAGCCAAAATAAATCATACGTCTTGAATAAAGCTAGTTATCAAAAATGATTCTGGTATCTATACAACAGCAGCCTACTATATCCCAGAACATTTTGGTAAAAGTGCAGTGTTTCACTGCAAAGCAGGTGGCTTCCCAGAACAATTGAGCACTGCCATTCAGAAACGCATGGGGCTCTACTGTAAAATACTGTAAACTCCGAGAAGCCACGCATTTTGTGTAGTGAAACACGAATTTTAACAGAATATTCATCTATGTCTCTGCTGTACAAAATCGGGAGTCATTTCTGATAACTAGCTTTTCTGCGAGATGATTTTTTGTAACTTTTTCCCATTCAGTTATGGCAGGCCACCGTCACTGACAAGAAATGATGCTATGTGCAAATGTTCCCAAGCCCTGGTAACACATGGAAAGTGTTTGCTATACAGAGTTTCGTTGTAACAGCGCCAAAGTGTTGTCAGGCGCGTAGGAGGAGGAAGAGGAATAAACGTTTATTTTTCAGGGGCGTAGGAAGGAAATTATTAGAAGGGGGGGGGGGGAAGAGGCACTTTTGAAATCCTCATTTCGGGCTCTTTATACCATGGCAAACAAAAAAAAACCTTCGCGAAGGGGGGGGGGGGGGGGGTGCACGGTCCCAGTTTGTTACTCCCTGGCTACGCCGCTGGAGTGTGCGTATATATACCTTAAACGGCTTCTGGTTGGTCGAGAGCATGTTGAAGCTGTACTCGAGCAGCAGGAAGCCGGCCACGGTGGCGGCGACCAGCTTGTAGAAGTGACCGCGACAGAGAGACGCCGCCGAGGCGCGCACGCCGCGCTGCCAGCTGACGCCGTCGGCCGCGGTCGCCGACAAGGCAGGCGACGCCATTGCGGCGGACGTGCTGACGGCGAGACCAGGGACGATGCGTCGAGCCTTGCTGCTGCTGCTGCACTGGAGCCGCTAGTGGCGCTCATCACTCGGCGCGCGCGTCATCAGCACGAGCCCGCCACCTTCGACCTCGTCGCCTGCGCCACATCGGCACCTGCAAGAGATTGATTGATTGATTTGTGGGGTTTGACGTCCCAGAACCACTATTTGATTATGAGAGACGCCGTAGTGGAGGACTCCGGAAATTTCGACCACCTGGGGTTCTTTAACGTGCACCCAAATCTGAGCACACGGGCCTACAACATATCCGCCTCCATCGGAAATGCAGCCGCCACAGCCGGGATTCGATCCCGCGACCTGCGGGTCAGCAGCAGAGTACCTTAGCCACTAGACCACCGTGGCGAGGCACCTCCACGAGAGCAGCGCGGGGAGTGGACGGTCAGTGTCTCACGGGTCCTGGACGCAGTCTCACACTCGTTTAGCTCGGCACGCTAACAATCGAAGCAGCCACTTGGGGGAAATATAAACGGGAATGCGCGTTGTAGAATTTACCTTAGTTCCTAATTGTAGGCAGTCTTGGGCAGTAACTACTTACTAGTAACGCGTTACCAGTACCTAGTTACCTTTTTAGTAACTCGTAACTGCAACTAGTTACTTTTATTTTAAAGTAACTTGTAACTGTAACACTGTTACTTTTTTCACAGAGTAACTAACGAAAAATACAGTTACAGTTACTTCTGTTTTTGTAAAAAAAATGATCCAACAGTCAGACTCGTTAACGACCGACGTTAACTGCTTTCCATTTTTTAAAACTTTCTTCTTTATAATGTCCTTTCCACCTTCCGACTTTCTACGGCTCCCATCGCAGAACAGGACGCTAGGAAGAATATCTTCCCTGCAGAAGACGGAGTTCGTAGTTTACTTGTATACTACATGTCTAAAGGTAAACATATTTGACAAAGACCTGTCTGGCTGGTTTGAAGCGAAGTGTGTCTGGAGGGTATGTTTATTTGTAAAACTACATGTCGTAACTCAATAATGTTGCCACTGAACACCTTGCCAAATTAAGTTCACGTGCCCCGCATCCCCCCCCCCCTCGGCTTTTCCTTTGGGGGGGGGGATGGGGGGTGGTATGGGAATATATATATCCTTTGTCATTTGAGCTTCTATCCCTTTTCTTGGTATGCCGGTGGAGCATTCCTCCGTTTGAGGCTTCCAGCAAGTCGCGTTTGACAGGTGGCTAGAAAATAGCAGCATGAAACTCCTGAAAGCCTGAAGCATTTAAAACGGGTTTGACACTGATTGTGAAAGCTCTACTTTGAGTTAACACCACAATTATTAACAAAGTGATTGACGTTTCGCCTCATATGCAGGTGGTATCCTCAGTAGACGCTGGCGAAAAATAAAAACAAGCGGAGGTCGATCAGTTCATTAGTCAGACATGTCCTTGCAAACGTTCGGTAGGGGGCCGCTGGTTGCTGTTACAAGTCGGTGCGTCGCAGCGAATCAACCACGTTTTCAGTAAAATACAATTTCACAATCCCGAATCCACCACTCTTGCCGCTACACGACGCCTATAGTAGGCGAGAAAACGCGCGAAAAGAAAATTTGAGTGGGAGACGCCACCTTGAGATTCCCGAGCCAAACACCGTGACGTCATAGGTTTTGAACACGTGAACTGGATTATGCGCAGCTTCTAATTGATAAAAATGAAGTGCATTCTGGTCTGTGAGTGCAATATATGTAGCATACGAGGTTGCAGAAAATTTCATAGAGCCGGGCAATATCACGAAGATACCAAAAATACACTTCGTAATTTCTGACGTGTCGCGTGGAGATTTAGGCGCGAAATTTAAAAATGAAACTCCAACTTAGATAATTATCTCGGCTAATAATGAACATATGATATTTAAACATGTGGCATTAGAGTAATAGGAGTGCACTTTGTCAATCTGAACGAAGTATTTTTTTGTTTTTTTTTAAATGTCCCTTCGACAGCGCGCCGTCATCCCTGCTGAAATAAACAATTCATTAGCCGGGACTCAAAACGGGGCCCCTACAGGCGTTCTTGACACCCTTTGCGGTCACAGAACTTTTCAATGAATGATCAACTAAATATAACAAAAACAAGCACCTTCAAAGAAAGGCCAATAACATGACATCTACAGTGGGTGTGGGGAGATTTCAATTAACTGAAGCCTACGGCGCCACATCGGCCACGATTACACACTACTTTTAGAGCCACTCGTATACATCACATCCACAAGTGGGAACTTGCGGTCAAAAATTTGACGAAAAATACCCCCTTTGTTTACGAATCCTTCACCGCATCTATAAGTGTTTCACAGGATATCGCCGCAAAGCGAGATATGTCACAATCAAAAACAGTTGCGATATATCAACGGAGCCTCCGAGCAGTGTAGCTGTGTCGCCACTGTACCGATCACTCTTTCACATCCAAGTATTTCTCCACAAAGGAAAGGGTTCGTAATCTTACACTTCCAGGAAAGGTGGAGTAAAAATGGACTCTTTTTTTATCGCCAACAATATTAATCGTATGGCTTGCTTGCATTTCCTCAATTTTTTTTTTAATTTTGGCGCTCGGTAGCCACCTTTTTATCAAGAATGACATGGCACGCTGATAACGCGCACGTCGTTCATGACGGGCTATAGTTCCGGGATTGCGGTGATAAGACATGCAAAGAAGTACGCGAGGCAAATGACTATAGCGTGGCACAAATACTCGCAACACACGGCGTCTTCGGAGTTTATTGTGGAGAAAAAAAGAAAAAAAAGACGCCCTTGCTACTCGTAACGGAAAACAGCAGCACATCCGGGACCCACCACGTTTGTGCGACCAACTGCTTGCTGCCTGCTAGATTGCACGATCATGAAACTGTCAGGCAGACAGTAAAAAAAAAAAAAAAAAAAAAAATTACGTCGGTGCCGAAGACAATTTGTCGTAATAGGGCCCCCATGAGAGAGTTATTGCCCAAATAACACCACAACAATGTCGTAACAGGGCTCCCGTGAGATAGTTATTGGCCAAATAACACCACAACAGATTCGGACCTTTCAGGAGTTTCCGGCCATGCAACAACCGGACTACAACGGCGCGTCGACACAAGGCTGCGGGACAATATATACCCACGTCTAAACATGTGAAGCACAATGAAAACGCAACGCATGATGCGGAGAGGTCACTGGCTGCAGCCAATCGAGACCACCAAAAGAATTCACCCGATGCAGATAGCTATATGCAGAAGCCAGACCACAAACTATCTGAGGAATACGAAGGTTGAGTCACCGCCACGTCGCTTTTCCAACAGGTCAGACGCACCATGCTGCAAGCGCGACATCGAGCAACGTGTACGTAAGTATATGATCAAGCAACCCGGCGGTCGACGGCGAAACACCCGAACCGGAACAACGGCTTCCGTGAGATAAGCCTAACGGCGGCGGCTCGCACCAGACGCTTTTTCCCCCTCAGACTTGTGCGGCGCCACTAATCCTCCCACTTCGGCGGGCAGCAGGATGCGAGGCGGCTCCGAAATAATTGGTCTTATCACTGCAGAGGCGTAGCCAGATTTATTGGGGGGGGGGGGGGGGGGGGGGGGGGGGGGAGGGGGGTTAACCATAGCTTTACGTATGTTCGTGCGTTTATTTGCATGTGTGCGTTATTACGCAAGCAAAACTGAAACTTTTAGGCGGGTTGAACCTCCCACCTTTGGCTACGCCCCTGCATCACAGGCCATCGTAGACAGCAGGCTGTTTTTGGAAAACACTGTGCTCGACCGCAAAAGCCGTCGGCGGCATAGAACGCGAACACTAAAAAGGCGCGACTCTCCAGGTAGTGGTATTTGAAGATGCGAGCAAGGCTGTTTCGTGTGAATTGACAACACTCATAATTGATTAGCACAAAACAAGTACAGCGGACAAGACAACAGGCCGGATGCGGCACTAAACTTCAAGGGAGTTCGCATAAAAACATAATTAACAACACAGACAGACAGATTGCCCTGAAAACGGCTATATAATACCTCCATTCTTTTAAACTCTTCGGCCTACACAAGCCACATCCATCTGAACAGTTAAAATGAGCATATTTTCCGTGTTACGCGGTTCCCTGCGAATCTTCTCAATTACGTTCTTCTGGGAATACATCTCCAGTTGAAGTTTATAGAGTCAGTTCTGCCTGTTCTAACATCGTACGTTTTTAACGCCTGAAGTCACTTCACACGGGAACGCCTATATGGATACCGGTTCAATGGAACCCGTGGCGCCTCAATTCCTTCTCTACATAGCACGGCCTCGTACACGTTCTTTTTGCCACATATTACGATGCCGATGAAATCCCTAACGCCATTATTATTTCGAGGAAGCAACAGAGGCCGGGCGAGGGGGAGAGGCGGCTAAACGGGATTAAGCCATTCACTTGCACTATGGGTCAACTTATTCAAACTCAATTTTATTTGGCAATAATTACAGCATCACCAACGTGAACACGGGGTCAATTACAACAACCTGCTATTATTATTGCAACATGAGGTTGTTCGGTTGTTAAAAGCGTGTCTAAACCAAAAGTACACAGTTACTTTTGCATTTAACCCTGACCGAAATGCGGCCGCTGGGGGTGGGAATCAAACCCGCAGCTATTTGAGCTTAGTAGCACTTTCGACTCAAAAGCTACAGCTTCAAGTTGAAAGACAGTTACAGCCATACAGACTGTATCACACTTGTTTAAAGCGGCCTGCGTGTCGTTTCAGTTGTACTATGCATAGACGCATAGAAAGAGCGACGCTGTAATAAGACCTAGCATAGCAAGCGGAGAGTTACTACAATAACGCAAAAAATGTACAGCAAACAGAAAAGATGAGACCACATGCATAAGCATGAACAAAAAAAAGGGGGGGGGGTAAACCACGAAAGTTCACATTTCCTTATAATTGGATCACATTCGTTAGTTTATAAAATAAGAAATTTAACAATTCATAGAATATTATTTATGTTTACTAACCGGATTACCAACTAGCCCGATCCCACGCTTCACTTTAGTATAGCTAACGTGCGGTGTAGCGACTGCAGACAACGGCGCGCCCGGCCACGCGCTCCACCGCTCTTGACAAGTGTGATCCCGACTGTATACCGAGATTT